TAGATAAAGGCCGCAAAGCGGTCTTCCTACCTGTTTCCTCGTGAGTCTGTGTAACATGCATCCATACATACCGGAAAACTCATTGTGTCCGCCTTAGAGGAGTAAACTGCTCTATATAAATAGATGGCTTAGAACACAAGAATATCTTTCCTACAGGCAACAGATGATTCGCTTCCTGAAGGAATTAAAATCTGATGAAATAGCACGCAGCACGCATATATGAGCATACGTGACGTATGCGCTATTGGCCTATAAATTGGCGTGATGGTATAAGGGCTTCAGACATTCGTCACACCGGAGGTGTTTCCAAAGCGATGACGTCATCGCAGCATTGAAGTGAACCTATGAGAGGGAACTGTATTTATACACACACACTAATAAAAATGACAAAATCACAACAAAATGATTAATATAAAATATATAATAAATATAAAATAAAGCAATAAGCCCCAAGAAGCCGTGGTTTACAGTGAATTTATAACAGCTAAGGGGCATTTTTAGGCACAACGCGAAGCGGAGCTGTTCTAAATTCACTGTAAACCACGGCTTCACGGGGTTTATTGCTTTTATAAAATGGTTATTCCATATACGTAGTAAGGTTTCACAAACTAAAACAGAGCAAATAAAGTGTAATGATATTAATAAAAACAGTATTCTTCCACCAAACAATGTAGTTCCTCAGAATCAGTTGTGGTTCCAACAAAGTGGTTGCCAAGCAGGCCCGGACTGGCCATCAGGAGCACCGGGAGAATTCCCGGTGGCCTGGCGGCTGATTTGGCCCGCTGCCCCGGTTTTGTTTTTTGTTTTTTTTTGTTATAATTTTTATTATTAATAGGCTATTTTATATTTATGCCTTCTCAATGTAACAAAGTGATAATTTCCGATTTTTTCATTCGATAATAAATCATAAATCGTTTAGTCTTGACTGTCAGCGCTGCGCATTATGATATAGTTCACGTGTGTTCCGCGCTTCCGTCAAACGATTCCGAAAAGAACCGAAGCGCGGGACTCGATGAAAGAGGAAGCGGCCAGAAGAAGCAGTGAAATGTAGCAAGTGCAGGTCAGTTTCATCTGTAAATACGCTAGATAGTTTTGTCTTTATTAACGTAGTTTGCAGTAATATTGTGAAATATTTTTATTAAAATGTAATTTATTCCTGATTTCAAAGCTGAATTTTCAGCATCATTACTCCACTCTTCAGTGTCACATGATCCTGACCCTATTCTAATTTGCTGCTAAAAAATTTTTTTTATTATTATTATTATTATGTTGAAAACAGATTAGATTTTTTTTAGCTTTCTTTGATGAATAGAAAGTTCAGAAGAACAGCATTTATCTGAAATAGAAATCGTTTGTAACATTATAAATGTCTTTATCTTCAGACATTTTATTCCTTGCTAAATAAAAGTAATAATTTCTATAATCCCCCCTAAAAGAAAAACTTATACTGACTCCAAGCTCTTAGTCCATGGGTAATGTTATAAAAGCTTTTTATTTCAGGTAAATGCTGATCTTTGGATCTTTCTATTCATCGAAGAATCCTGATGTACTCAATTGTTTTAAATATTGATAATAATAATAACAACAACAACAGCAAATATGTTTCTTGAACATCAAATCAGTATATTAGAATGATTTCTGAAGATCACGTGACACTGAAGACTGGAGTAATGATGCTGGAAATACAGCTTTGATCACAGGAATAAATTACATTTTACAATATATTACAATCGAAAGCAGTTATTTTAAACAGTAAAAATATTTCACAATATTACTGCTCTTGCTGTACTAGTTTGTATCAAATAAATGCAGGCTTGGTGAGCAGAATAGACTTTTTAAAAAAACATAAAATTTACTGTTCAAAAACTTTTTACTGGTAGTGTATATATGAAACAGGTTTGTTAAATCTAGGGTATTTAAGTCATTTTAAGTTAAATAACATTCTGTGCTAACAAATTGAAATTAGGTGAATGTTTTCAACCAGGTGGACACAGTTCTTTTCATAACAGTAGACCTGCTGGTGAAGAAGTGACAGGTAAGGGGTGACGTAGACATGTGGGGGCGTGTTAGAACCAGCCGTTTTAGGTAGGCGTGGCTGACTAAAGAATATCTCTTTGGATTTGAGACTTTAGTCTTTGCAACTTTACAGATCTTCTTTATGCACCAAGAGCTTGTAACACTCCAAAGAGAAAGGAAAACTTGAAATCGCATCACATGACCCCTTTAAAGGAATACTGTTCAATCACCACAGGAATTGATTTCGATTTTGTGCTTTACTTGGTAATTTTATTAATCAGTTTGTCATAATTGCTTCCGCCCTGAACTCAGGCATTTAACCACAGGGTGCGTGTGTCACATTTAGATAACAATGACACTACTTTTCCCAGAGCCAATCCCTGTTTGTCCCAGTCTCACTCAGGAGAATGCAGACAGTCAGTGGACCAACAGGAAGTTGCCCTGCATGTTGAGACGAGTCGGGACTGCTGACACACCCTCCAATAAAGCATTCTGATGGAGAGACTATTACAATAATCAGGACAATACAAAATACTTCAGCTCACTCACCGGAAATGATTACCCCAAAAATATGGTAAAAAAAAAAAACACCTGAAACTCTTAAAACATAGTTTGTAATTAAAAATAGCTTTTTATAAGAATGAAATGAATATAAATTCACAAGATTATTGTGACATAATTCTGAAAAGGTCAAGACCTTTAAGGTGTGACAGGCCAAAATCACCATTTTAAAGGCGGGACTTAATGTTCTGTTTAAATTAAACTAGGTTAAGTAATAGTTTATCAAATGTAGTTGTCAAAACAAACAACTCGGGATTTGTGCATCTTCTGCATAATCATGTAAAAAAAAAATTTTTAGCAGTTTCTCAAATGCAGTTTTTCTGTTTCTTTGTTGGCTGCATATTATAATGAATTGTCTCTGGATTGAGCTGATGTGTGTAAATGACCTCTAGTCTGTTTCATCAATGACTCACGGATGACAATGATGGTGAATCGGCGCTGAGCTTGAGGTGTGGCTGCGGGTGGGGTAAAAATCCCTATTTATGACTCAAAATCTTACGTTTGAGAAAGTATAGCTTATTGAGCAACAACAATTATGTCTAGAGAGTCACATTATAACAATTACATAAACGATTTAGCGTCGAAAACCATGCCAACAGGATCAAGATCTTACAATGCTGGTGTGACTGTACCCATAAATTGGGTTGTAACATCTTAACACGCCGTTCCTACGAGAAAATGTGACCCTGTTCAAAATTAGCACAGGTTCTCTTTATGGACCTCGATGGGAGATAATTGAGATTCTGCTTTTATTAGTATCTGGTTCCTCTGCTCCAGTTTAGAGGCCGAGCTGCTCTCTGACGCTGTGTGTTCAGACCATGCAGCTGAGCAGACAATATTGTCTTCCTTGCTCTTTCATTGTCTTTATGCGTAATGATTTATTGTTTTTTTTGGTGAAAACATCTGTACAAAAAGCATGAAGTCTGAAACACTGATGTATCATTGTCCTCTGGGTCAACTATTGTGCTACATTATGACAAACCCCATTACAGTGAAACTGAGGGTGTATGAGCAAGATAATTAAGCAACCCATGTTGAAAGTTAAATACATGTAAACAGAGTAATGCATCCGTTTCATTAACAGTTAACACTTTGATGCATGACATCCACTAGTGAACATTACTCGTTTATTATGCAAATAAACAGTGTGAAACATATAGAAAAGGGGGGAGAAAATAAAAATAAGAAATAATATACCATTTAAAACAAAAATAATGGTATGGTGTATTGTATATATATTTAACTTTATTTTACTATCATGTTGTTATATTATTATTCACTACCCTTTTTTGTGGTTGGGCTTTTTTGATTCAGAGTTGCTGTTTTTATGTGTAGAATAAGTACATATACATGTTATCTATCATTCTTCAATCATTCTATATCTGTAATTGTAATGTGTAACCTGCTGAGGTGGAGAAAATCATAATAAAGGGAGGGAAAAAAAAATAATGGGAATTATTATATGTTTTTAATTAAATTTGAGTTAAATATTAATATAAAAGATAGTATTAATATTTAAAAAATTACATATTTTTTTATTAATTAATAAAATTAAATATGTTAATTGTGATCTAATTAATGTGTCAAAGGCATAAATTACATTAACCCTATGAAGCCTACTGTATCATTTTTAATATGCGAATACACAAAGGCCTAAATTATAAACATGATCAAAAACTTTGCTGAAAATCATGTTGTACGCAATCTACTAGCATGCCTTCTGATTGCTTAATAATTCATATATTATTAGCAAATAAAATGCATTTTAGTGTCATTCAAAAAACCATGTGCCTTTTTGCTGTGAGGTCTTTACTGGTTTACATGAAGTAAAAGTAAGAATATATTTTATATTATTAGCAATATTTAAAGATGAACACTTACTGGACGTACTTGATTATCCATACATCTTTTTTTTTTTATATATATATAATTTTGAAGAACGTTTATTTGTTAATCTCTCACTCATCATTGCATTGCATTGCATTAGATGTTTCCCCCCTCATAATAAATGCTACAGAGCTTTGATCATAAAACATCTGACTAAGATATTACTGAGAGCTATAGAGTGATAACTGATATTAATATGCTTTTCATGTAAGTAGCCTGTTTTATTGATCTCATTGGTCGCTTCTCATTGATTTTACACAAGCTGTCAATCTTACTTTTTGGCATCTGCACCTCAGAATTAAAGCGACGTGTTTTATTTCTCCTCGCGCATGAGCGTCATATTCTCACTCTATGTATAGATCATGGTCTCGAGATGTTTTATAGATAGATTTTTCTGACCGTCAGGCTTTACAGGGTTAAAATCATTCCCATTAGATTCCTCGGAATCAAACGCGCACGCCAATCAAAAACTGCCGGTTGCCTAGGCAGCGGTTGACGTCACGGCCCCTGCTCCAGCGGAGAGTGAGTGGGAGGGAAACCCCGTGGATCGCAGAGGAACGCTACGCTGCGCCGCGCGCCGCAGTCGCAGAGTGGCAGCTGAGCCGTACAGAAGGAGACCGCTCTCATTCACAGGTTAGCTCACTTTCGTGTCATTCAATAATTCAGTGCGCTGTTGCATACACAAGAGCCGTATTTCTTTGTTTCGCGTCTGCTCGTTTTAACTAAACGGTTTATATCATTCGAAATTGTTCGTAATAAGCGCTTGCCATAGGGATGCTTCAACGCGTTTGCTTGAGAAATGCCTCGATGACGGCTGGGTTCAGCACCGATAATACCATAATGATAAGTTTAACTAATAAAACGAAGCTTGGGCTGTTATTTGACTTAATAAACGCCGTTTTCCGCGTTTTAGCTCCTCGTAGTTCTTCAACCGTTGCTGCTTTCCAGACAACGGAAGATGAGTCCTCCTCCTCCGCACGCAGATATCGCTTCGTCTGTCTTTATTCGTGTGTTAGTGAGAATATAAGTGTGAAAATGTGATTTATCGCATTCAAGCTTGGTCTTGGAGGAGATCTGGCAAGCCAGATCATGTCGGGCACATTAGGCAAAAAGTAGGGCGTTTACCTCACTGCTTTACTACTGTGGAGTTCCTGTCAGTTGAAGGTAGCGACTGTGTGTGTCATTATGAATTTGCTTATGGAAATGAATAGGTGTTTTGGGCTTTGTCAGCACAATGTAATATATTCTCATTGTCTAAAAGGCTGTTGTTGGATTAAATGGGGGCAAACGAGCTGCCCAGTTTAGCGTGGTTTCGTATTGAGACAAAGCGGACGCTAGAAAGGTAACGTCAGGTGAAGAGCGGAACGCGCGAGCGCAGGGCGGGAAGAGTTCGCACGCACAAATCCCCGGATGGACCGCGATCAGACAGGAGATCAGCCCTTTTTTGATGTATGGGGTGTCTTGTTTAATAAACATTGTTCGCTGGCTGCTGTGTGGACTGGGCGTGGTCGGCGAAGGCATGTCCGCATTTTTGGCAACTTTCACTCCTTTTCTGTCATATCACGTGAAATGCACTGTAAAAAAAAAAAAAAACTGGCAGCTGTGGTTGCCAGTGTTTTACCGCAAGAAATACGGTAGCAACATTTTAGGTTTTACGGATTTAACTTACATTTACATTTAAAAACCGTATTTCATTAACTGATTTAATGTTAATATACCAACCTATTGAAGTACTGACATCTGTGTAGTACCTTTGTAATACACTGATAACCACCAAATGCAGGTGGTGATGAGAAAGTCACATGATGAACCAAAGCTCATCACAAGCAGCTTTCCCACAAGCTGAGAAGGAACATACTAATATTTATAGAAGGTGCACAGTGTCATTCACACAATCACTAAACACCGTCATGGTGTAACTCGCATGAAACTGAAATAATGCAATAAGCATTAATTTAACAACATTAGATGTAGCATACAACCCTAATGTGCACAACTGATTAGAAAAAACTAAGAAGAAATGTAGTTATGTCAGCGAAAAAAACATCAAATGTGAAACATATTAGCATATATGCCAACATATTTGCTTTAATTAAAATGTATTAACAGGTAATAACAGTGGTTCTGGTATTCGAACTTGGTTGCGTGTGAAATTGCAATAAATGTTTGTGTTAAGTTAATATTGTATGATTTAGATTTTATTTAGTAAATAAATCATAGTAGTTAAATGGCTACTTGGTCTGTTTTTGCTTTGAGAATTAATTCCAAATCAAATTCAAGCACTAAAACTGTTAAGGCCTGTTCACACCAAGAATGATAACTATACACTTTTAATAATCAATCTAATTCTATGAGAATAGTGAAGTCCACACCACAACTATAACAGTAACGAATGACACAGAGAAAGAATATACCGTATTGGCCCGAATATAAGACGACCCTGATTATAAGACGACCCCTCTTTTTCCAGATGTACCTTTTGGAAAAAGGCTTTTTAAAAACCAAATCTTGTTTTTTCTCAGTAAAACACATTTTGTCTTCAATTATTTTCATATTGCATATTTTTCCTATTTTAATTTTTGTTTTGAAAGTATGATAAAAACTGGTAAAATGTACCAACAATCACATTTAAAAAAAATACCCTTTTTGATATACCATTAAAAAAAAAAAAAAAAACAGGTAGCCCATCTGAATTAGGACATTTAGGCTATCCATCTAAAATAGTAGCCTACCAAAATCTTATTAACAGCAGAAGTAGAGTTGGTCCCATCAGGCTAACGTGACAGTCACGACTCATGCAGCTGTAAGGTTTTCTGCTTCTTTTGTTTTTACTCGCGATCTTTACAACACGCATTACATTACGTATTTCAGGCACACTCATTTAAGCGTATTTGGCGCCACCTAGTGTTGTGGGTGTATTATTGACATGTCAAAGTCTAGACCCTGAATATAAGACGACCGCGTTTTTTCAGATGTATTTCCAAGAAAAAAATATCGTCTTATATTCGGGACAATACGGTAGTTGTTGTTTTTTTTCCAGCTGATGAATGAGAAATACACTGAATCACAGAATCCACCAGACTTTGGAGATCTCGAGCATTTGAAGTGGCAGACAACAAAACTGCAGTGCGCTTAAAATAAACAGAATGTTAGTGTCCATTGGTGTGGACTCTAAAATAGTTATCTTTATAGCTATCATTAAAGACGTGTTTGCAGCAAGGATAGCCATAATGCTAACTATAATGTTTGTAATAATCATAATTATAAAGTTTAATAATCGTTTTAATTCCATGAGTTTAGGGAAGTCCACAACTGTAACGATAATGGCATGGAGGAACAATATTGCTGGTAACTATATTGAGTTATTTTTTCAAAGCAATTTTTTAGTATAGTTATCTTTATCGTTATGGTTCTTGGTGTGAACAGACCTTTAATGTGTTTTAAAAAATAATAATATTTTAAATACTTAACCAGTTATTTTAGCTATATTGCTATATAATCAATAAAGTTGAGTTTAACTTTATGCGGATGAACAGTGATGCATTGTGGCTACTGCCAGTGGGAGTTGAGAAAGTGGAGCCATTTTACCACATTTACAGTAGGACTGCAACTAATCACTGTTTTGCTAATCGATTAATCTTTGAGTAATTGGATTAAAATGATTCATTTTCATTATTCGTTATTTTTAGTTGTTTCATCTGGCCAAATATTGTCTTCCAAACAATGTGTAAATTGAAGCCTATGAAAATAAATATACATTTAAGTTTATACCCCATTACAACAGTCCATTAACATTTATAGCTTTAATAAAGTAAAAATCTTAAGGCCCTTTCACACGGGACGCGGCAAGCGGTGGAATCGCCGCGCGGCTGCCGCTTTCTCTTGTAGTGGAAGCGTTTTGTGTAGTTGAGGCGGTGGTCGCGTTGCGGTCTCAGAGTGGACGTTGCCATAGTTACAATTGTCAACATCACCTTTGTATTTACTAAAAACTAAATAAAACATAACGGAAATTTGTGTTTGTGTCATTCTGCCATTAATTGTTGTCATTATTTACCTTTTTTTTTTTTCGTTTTTGTTGATTTGCCTAAAGAGCATACCTGTGAGGTTACGATTGAATGA